TAGAGTTGGGTATCGGTCCAACCAAAATGTGGTCGGATCAGGTCCGAATCCATGTCAACTCGGGACCCGAACGGTCCATTCCCAACCCTAATGCCAGCCAGACCCGATTTGTAACTGGGTATCTCCGCTAAAGTCAACCAGCCTAACCCAACCAGAGTCACTTAAGGGCATAGGAGGTAGGAAAAATAACTGGGTTCTATCGAAAACCTATGGCTTTTAAAATGGCGTAATTTTCAGCTTGGCTATGGGTAATGGGTTGTTTGAATGAAATAGAAAAAAAACCCAGGCTTTGTGTTGCATATATGAACTCATTTATTCGTTAAAATGTGAGTTTTGGGTATTTTCTAGATACGGAACCTCCCTCCTTTTATTTGCACGAGCCCCATTTCTTTAGGGTGTGGTTTACAAAAAGTTGCAACCTTAACAATCCAACTAAGGTGCGCCTTCAAATTTTACCATAATATATAATTTTAATATAAAATGTTATTAGGGTTATCTCAAAAATCTATTTTTATATCTAATTATAAAATTTTAAATTACAAAAATAGTTAAAATCAGGTAGATCTATAAACATATGAAAATCTTGAAAATGGACGGTGTAGATAATATGTTGTAAGATGCACTATTTCTGAGACTCAAAATCTTTTTATTTTTCATTGTCATACAACTCGATGTCGAGATGATGAATCACAAGGTTTTCAACATTAAAACATTTTTTTTCAATAGATTTTTGAAGTGCATCCGTAGTTCTACATTTTAAGATTGCAACCTCATATAAACTTTTTCTATTTCTTAATGTATCGAGCCTTTAATCTGATACACCCTATTGTACACGCGGCAACAAGTACACTTTGATGCGTATCGCATGGCTTAAAGGATGGGCTTCTAGGAGTCAGCCGACTCATATGTACACGTACGTCCTCCCTCTTAAATCTATTTTAAAGAAAGAATTTTTATCCATGTTTTTAGGGATCAAAATCTAGGCCACAGTGATCATAAATATGAAATAAAGCAAATCAAATTTAAGATTTAAACTTTGCTTCTTTTTTTTCCACTTTGGATCATCCATAGGTCCCTTGCACCATCCACAGCATCCATCTCAAGGATGGATGTTCATGGGTTAGTGGGCTCTTGTGCCCGCTTACTCACATAACACCTTTTATTGTTTAAAATATCTAGATATAATATTTTTCTTATTTTTTGAAAACTAATTCATGACTGGGGAATAAATTAAAAATGTTTAATATCGGATAAATTTAAACCCAGGGTTTGGTAGTTATGTGGCATTTAGATGGGGCATAACCTAGGTTTTCATATTCCTAGTGTTTAGATGTGCCTGTTCCCAAATCCTTGGGTTTAAACTTAAAAAGCTCTTCCTACTGGTTTTTGGTTAAATTTTCCTTTTCAAGAAATGAAAACTCCTTATTCCTACTCCAACATAAAACAACAAAACTCTACCATGAAAGACCCAATGGGCTCAAGTCAATGCCCTGTCTGGCTCGGTGCAATGCATTATTTTAGGTGGGGTCTGTAGAGAAGCGTCTATAATGGCTATGGGCCCAAGTCAATGTCATATCCCCCATTGTACAATGTATTATTTGTTGTGGGGTGTAAAGTCGACAAATTGAAATGTTGAACTTTGGAAAAACTGCATTTAACCATGTATTTGTCAAGCAAATTAAGTCCATGTAGGATTTCGTTTTGAGAATTTATTTCTGGGTGTTGGTTATATTTAAGCATACCTTGTACTTATGCCAAGAGATGCAGATCAAGTGCCCAACGATATCCTGAATATTTAAGTCTACCTTTAATTGTAAATTTAGCGCTCATCAAATAGTACAGATCAAGCAATCAATAAATACTTGAAAATCGACGGTTCAGCTAATATGCTACAAGATCACTCTTTTTAAGATTTAAAATCTTCCTTTTTTTTTAGTAACATCTAAACCTCAAGTTTGAGATGATGAACTTGGAGATTCTCCAACATCAAAATAGCTTTTGCCAGGTTGGTTTCAGGTATGTCTTAATTTAAGAGTATAAGATTCACACCTTTCATAAATTTTTCATTCATTTTTTTTCTTCACCTTGAAAGTAGCAGGAAGTGGTAGCTGGTGCGGAGGACATGTTACTATCTATGGGCCTTGTGGGGCAAAATAATCGAAACCCGATGTGATGCCTCTCTTGTTATCTTCCATCCAAATTCCAAATTATTTGTAACCATTCATTGCTTATCTTTTATTTGATGCAACTTCTCCTCTCTTTCTTGGGTCTTGTCCTTCCAAACCATGAAGTCCCACTCTTTCACTTTCTGTCCTTTCAAAGTGTCTAAGTCTTTGTTATCTATAAAGATTAATCTACTATCTATAAAGGCTAATCTACTTTTTCATACGATAATCGCTCACCCTGGCTTTCCATGTAACCACTCCTTGAAGTTTTTTCTTTTCTTTTGATTGTAAGCTTCTCTTCAGGTTTTTGAAGGATCTCTCCAACTCCTTTTCATGTTCTTGGCGAAAACAAGGAACTTTCCTTCTTTTAACCATGGTGGGAATAATGATGAAGACAAAATGGGTGGAAAACGAGCTGGGGATTAATTGGTTAGCGTATGTGTTTTAAAGAAAGATTTCTTATCCATTTTTTAAGGGATCATAATCAAGGCCACACTGATCATAAATATGAAAAAAAAGCAAAAAAAAAAAAAAAAAAAAAAAATTAGAGATTTAAGATTTGCTGCTTCTTTTTTCCACTTTTGGAACATCCATATAAAATTTTGGTCCCTTGCACCATCCACAGCATCCATCCTAAGGATGGATGTTCGTGGGTTCTTGTGCCCGCGCTGACTCACCTAACATCTTTTATTGTTTAAAATATCTAGAAAGAATATTTTCCTTATTTTTGGAAAACCAATTCATGAGTGGGGACTTTAACCCTAGAATAAATTCCAAATTTTTAGTATCGGATAAATTTAGACCCTGGTTTTAGTAGTTATGTGGCTCTTCCTACTGATTTTGGGAAACCCTCGGTTAAATTCTCCTTTAACAAGTAATGAAAACTCCTTATTCCTAATCCAACATAAAACAAAAAAACTTATCATGAAAGACCCAATGGGCTCAAGTCAAGTCAATGCCCTGTCTCGCGCGGTGCAATGCATTATTTGAGGTGGGGTTGTAAATTGTATAGTTTTGTCTATTTAAGGTTATGGGCCCAAGTCAATGTCCTCTTCCCCATTCGACAATGCAGTAGTATTTGAGGTGGTATGTAAAGTTTACGAATTCGGAAATGAAGTTTAAGGAAAAGTTGCTGCACTTCGAAACTGCATTTAACCCTGCATTTTTTTTTTGGACAATAAAGTTGATATTTTCTTCCTAGAATTCCTTTTGAAAATTTATATTTGAAAATGGCAACGGATTCCTTGGTAAGTAGTGTCGGAGTGGCGAGCCTGCCCACCAAATTTTTTAATACGGTATTCTTCTATCTCATCTCATGTGGTTGATAATCCCTTTTCAAGGGTTGTACAAGGACTATCCTTGTGACATATTTTACAATTTAATAAAAAAAAGATAAGGGCTCCTCATGACCTACTGATTCACCCCAAAAATGTAAAAATAAAAGTTACTGCCATGTCACCCTAATGAAGATTACAATGACTACATGAAAAATGCTCTATCATCCCATGGCAGGATGGTTATCGAGTTATGGCTCACCTCCAAATTTTTTTTTTTTGCAAGATGTAATTTGTTGTCAAATATTTTTAGGACAGCATAAGAATCTATTTTCACCTCTAAATATAAAAATTTCAATTCAAAAAATGATTCAAATCAAGTAGATTTATAAACATGTGACAATATTGAAAATGGATGGTCTAAATAGTGATGCACTATTTTTGGGACTAAAAATCTTTTTTTTTTTATATATATGACGTCGAGATAATCAATTAGAGGGTTTTTCATTTTAAGTTTGTAACGTTATATAGACCTTTTCCATAGAAACGTTCAATTATGAAAAGGAGTCGGGTCCTATAATTAAAAATCAAGCAATTATTGAAGCAGCAAACTTCTGATTCTCCCCTCTTGCAAATGAATAGGCAACCACTAAACTTCTACTTTCTTTTATTTCTTTTTAATTTCTTGTATTTTATTTGCCTGATGATGGTGGTGTACACGTTCGCTTTAACTAATCCTCCTAGTAGACCTCTCCATTGAAGAGGAGTCCATACCTATGTGGTAATCACACGTCCATACTGTATTGCAATTATAATTTTTGATGCTAATCATGCTTAGTGCTCAATTAGCTAACAGACGCTATTCGCAGTCATATTTTCACTATTCCCACGCAGATCATGGGTGCGAAAAACAAAATGGGCCTCTTGTGAGCATTCAACCCATGTTTCCAATAAGCAAAGCATGCCCATATTTCCAATGAGCAAAGCATAAAATGGGGAAAATTAGTATTTGAATAACCCTTCCCTCAATTGACAAGGACAAGGGCACGTGAAATGAAGTCACACTTAATTGATTTAAACACCATTTGTTCACTAAATATTTATTTAACACCGCTTGTTTATTGTCTTTTCTTTGCAACACTTTCTCCTTGCTTTGTCTTGATCTTGCTGCTTCCTACCCACTTCTTGACTTTTTGCTCTTATCACTTGAAATACTCTCCTCAATTG